GGCTAATTTGGGTGATGGTCTTTACTCTCTTTCCATGGGATTAAAACTTCCTTCCCAACACTTACTTGTTTGTTTTTTGAGACAGGATCTCATTTTTCTAAATATTAATATGCTGCTTAATTTTTGAGACAATCTCACTGTGTAACCAAGGATGACCTTGAACTCCTGATTCTCCTGTAAACTTGAGCCACCCAACCCAGCTTGTTAAAATGCTTTTTTTTTCTGAGTCAGGGTTTCTCCATGTAACATGCCTTGGCTGTCCTGAAACTCACTCTGTAGACCAGGCTGACCTCAAACTCACAGAGATCCACCTGCCTCTGCCTTCTGAATGCTGGGATTAAAGTCGTGTGTCACCACTTCCCGGCCATTAAAATGCTTTTAACTGGGTATATGGTAGTTCATGTCTGTAATCCCAATACTTGGGAAGTAAAGGCCATCCTTGGTTGCAAAGAGGATTTGAGACCAGCCTGTGCTACATGAGACCCTGTCAAAAGAATAAACAAAAAGTGCTTTCAGTGGGATTCCTTTGGATTCCCTTGTTGATTAAGCCTTTCAGGCATGTGCAAATGCATAATAAGCATTTGGTTGTGGAATATAACATTTAATCTTTTGCTTTATATATTCTATCATCAAAGTCCTCTACAGAGATAAGCTTCATGTGACACTTGAACAAACCAACAGTAGAGCTGGAGAGGTGGCTCAGCAGTAAAGAGCACTTCTTGCTCTTGTAGAGAACCCGAGTTAAATTCCCAGCACCCATCTGTCCAGCTCCAGAGCATCTGATATCCTCTTCTGACCTCCAAAGGCACCAAGCACACATGTGGTGCACAACTTGCAGGTCAAATACAGGCTCACACATAAAATGAGTAAATCTAATTGTTTTCTAAAATTGAAAAGGTTTGTGCAGCTTTAAACAGATATGAAAAATGAAAATCCTTTTTTGTTTTTGGTTTTTTGAGACAGGGTTGAAAAATGGAAAACTTTTATACCTTAATTTTTTTTGAGACAGGATTTCTCTTTGTAGCCCTGACTGTCCTGGAACTTGCTCTGTAAAATAGGCTAGCCTCAAAAGCAGAGATCAGCCTGCTTCTGCCTCTAAAAGGGATTAAAGGGATTAAAGATGTGTGCCAACACACATGGTCTATGCCATAATTTTGATCCTGCTAACCGCTGGAGAGAAAAATCAGCATCAGCTCCTCCACATAGACACATGAGAATTCATGAGACAGTCTTCTTAATGAGATGCTTTGTTTGTGAAGCAGGGACAATATGCTTTCAAAGTAAATATCATACTGTAATTATGAAGAAAAATGCATGAGCCACGTTCTCTAAGGAGTCCTAAAGAATATGTCCTCCACTCTGAAGCCAAACAGGTACAACTTCATATTATAAACTTGCAGAAATATCATCAGAAAAAAGAAAAATTGGACCCAGTTGGATAAAAGGTACAAAAAAAATCAATATGTTCTTCAAAGAGAAAACTGGAGCATGGAGAAGTGCAGGGGGTGGGGTTCTGAAAAGTCCTGGCTGCTTTGAAAGTATCGTTCACTATTAAAACAGAGCCAAGGAGGCTTATAACACCCAGACTTCTGCTGAGAGCCCTTTTTCCACCTAAAAGATCCCTTCTCCCAGCAAGAAAAGTTGGCAGAACTTTCTCTCTTCCCTGCCTCTGGTATGTCCAGAATTGGGTGAGAAATGGGGAAGCATCTACTAGCAATTACTGTTATACCTGAACCAAGAAATGCTCTCCAGATATGGAAAATGAATATCAAGCCACAAGCCATATGCCTCAAAATGTAGAGAAGTGTTTATTTCTGAGAATTAATGAAAGACTATACCAACAAGGAACCAAAATTGAGACCCCCCTTCCTGTTCCTCCTGGGTAGCTAGAAGACTGGGTACAGGATACAAACCGTGGGTGCAACCCATCTTGTAGATGGAAGCATGAAGTAATACCCAATGGAGCAGCACTATTTGAGTGTGGACAATTGAATGACTTACATTCATTAAAGAGTTTCCAGGTCACATTGACATGTGACAGAAGAAAAAAAAGTCTGCATTTACAGAAAGAAAAAAAGTCCTGCAGCCTGCCAGTGGCAGAATAGACTTTGAAGCAGTCCTAGCAGCTGGGCCTAGCAAGCTCTGACAATGTCCAGGCACTGTTTCCCTGCCTCCATGTTTCTATTCGCCCTCACGGCACTGAGGTAAACACCATTACCATCCTGCCTTACAGGTAAGAAGTCTGCAGTGCAGAGAGGTGAAGAGACCCGCCCATGCCTCCTCAGTTGTGAGTGCGCCAGGCTTTGGACAGAAACAGTCTGTGCCCAGAGCACCCTATCAGCTACTCTGCCCCTGCACCCCAAGAAGCAGATATTCAAACAACTACTTTGTACTTCCAAGGATAATAAAGAGAATAGAAACCTACCAGCCATGTGAAAACTGCTGCAGAGAAGGAAGCCAAGCATCAGGAAGCCAGTATGGAAGAGTGGTTTGTAAAGCCCCAAGACAGGAGCTGTGCAACAGCCAAAGAAACATAAGGTCACAGGGAACACCCCAAGAAAAAAATTCTGTGGATGAGCCCGCTGATCTGAAAAGTGTCACTGATCACTTGATAGGCATTTGGTAAAAGTTTTAAATGCATTTGGTAAAAGATAACACAAGGTATACTAAAAAGTTAAATCAGAGGTTTTAGAAATTTTACCTGTAGTTCTAAATGATGAGTGAAAGCAAACTTATAAGGTAATGGGAGAATAACCATATTCCCTTGTCCAATAAGCCCATTTTATGTGACATACATAATATAATGCAGTACATATGTGTGTGAATTATTCAGTGTATGGTATATGTAAAAACACTGAAAATGCTTTGACAGCTACTGAAATGACAGAAATGAGTGGTGGTGAGAGAGATAAATGTCCAATTTTTACAATTGGTACCGAACAGTATGTGTATATTATCTGCAGATATGACAATGGGTCCCAGCTAAATAGTTTGTGAAGAATGAACATGCAGGGTAGAGAAGTAAGGTGTCAGGGAAGGGGCTACTGTCTTTTATTCTAAACAGTTTTGTACTATTTTTTCAACAATCCAAACCCTAGATAAACCAACAACACAAATGAACTTAAAAATCACTCCTGGAGGGGGCTGGAGAGATGGCTCAGAGGTTAAGAGTACTGACTACTCTACCAAAGGTCCTGAGTTCAATTCCCTGCAACCACATGGTGGCTCACAACCATCTGTAATGAGATCTGGTGCCTTCTTCTGGCCAGCAGGCATACATGTCGGCAGAATACTGTATACATAATAAATAAATAAATACATAAGCAAAACAAATAAATTTAAAAAAAATCACTCCTGGAATGTTTTTAAAGAATCTAACCAAAACTGTTTAATAAAAAGGTTTATAAAATACTTCTTGGAAATTAAAAGATTGACTTTGTATGTAGAATTGGCACCAGAAAATCTTAATTTCTCCCCTCTGAAGAGCAAAGCCACAAACAGTATGAAACTTTAAAAATGTGTTTGTCTAAGAAATTGAATCACATACTTCCACCCTCTAATTGTGTTCCTTTGGTTTTTCAAGATACCAAAGAAGGGGCCTTTATTTTAGCACTCGGGTGGGGGCGTAGCACAGCCATCTGTACAGCACATTCGGCTACAGGAAGGAGCCACTCGCTGAGACTAAAAAGGGCTGCTGTTCCAATGCCACGTGAAAGAACGAGGTTTTCATCGCCTCATTGTCTTCCAGTACTGGTGACACATGAACTCTGGATTCCCATCGCACGTTGCTCAAACACCATGTTTCTTTTATGTATTGCGGTTTTTCTTGACCCAATGGGCTCCCTTGATAACTTCCTCCCATGTGGTATGCAAACAAATCTGTGCGCAAACACAGTGCCGCAGGCTGCAGAGGGAGAACACTACCAGCACGTGGTGAACACTGAGTCTGCTGGAAGACAGGCTCAAAACAATTAAATAAAGGAGCCAGTGCAAATGAGTCTTAGGAGAATTTGGGGGGCACAGATGGGGATTCAAGAGGAATTATAGAAAACCTGAGAGAAACTGGAAAACCCAAACTGTAGGCTTTGAACTCAGGGTTGAAACCATTGTCCCTTTCAGGTCAGGGAAATAATACAAGCAGCCTAAGGACGGGGCTGTGTGGTTAATAGCAGTGAACAGCAAGGGAGATCTGGGATAGCATCTAGTAGAAAAAGTGGTTAGTTATTTGAGGTCACAAGACTCTGTAGCAGAAAAGAACAGAAAAGGGAAATCATAGGGAAGAAAGCAAATTTGGTGGTTGAGAGAATGTATAGGGGAAAGGCCGTTGATCAGTCAAAGATTACATCAAATTCAGCTTTGCTCAAGAGACTGCAAAATAGGAGTACCTGGATACAGGATCTTGGAAAAAAATAAGTATTTCTGATTTGATGCTTGGACAAATTTGGTGTTTATATATTGTCTGATTAATTTCTGAGTTGCTGAAATATGCAGGAAAACTTCATATATTGATGATCTCTTTGGCCCTTTGCCCCTAGAATATATAAATTCTCAGGACTTTATCTCATGCCTAGAGAGAGTGGGAGCATAGGCTTTGTGTAAATCCGGTTGCAAACCCAAAGTGGCTTTCCGTGTGAAGCTCCATTTCCTGAAGCACTGTGGATGCTTATGGCATTTGGTCTGACTCATCTTACTTGACTTCAGCTTTCCTAAAATATTTATCTATCTACAGATACTTGCATTTTGGTTTTCTTCATTTCGTGACAATAAAGTTTAAACTGCTTTAAATACCATACACACTTCTCTGTAGAATTATGAGTGTCTAGGTCCTTTTTTTTTTTTTTTTTTTTGTGGCAGCTGGAATCAAAAGACTTTGTCTCTCATTCTTTGACCGAGAAGGTTGCCAGTGGAGCTGGTTAAGCAGACGAACCAAATGTAATGCTAAAGTCACCTATTACTCAGTCAGCCAGCAACATTTTTGGTTTTCTTTTTCTGTCTTGAAGGTGTGGCGTGGCACCCTGGCCCGAATGCGGTACAAGAGGACCAAGGCAGCACTGACAATAATTAGGTACTACAGGCGCTATAAAGTGAAGTCATACATCCACGAGGTAGCCAGACGTTTCCACGGCGTCAGGAACATGAGAGACTACGGGAAGCATGTGAAGTGGCCAACCCCGCCAAAAGTCCTGCGTCGTTTCGAGGAGGCTCTGCAGTCAATTTTTAATAGGTAATAACTTGGCAAGTGCCACATTCCTGTACAGTGGCATACTCCCAAATCCTAGGCCATGGTGTTGGCTCAGCTCTTTGCTGCTATGACATTCGCCTCTCCCTCTGTCTTGTGTTTGATTGATTTTGTTTCCAAAGTGTCCCGCGCTACCGTCTCGCCAGCAAGAACGACGCAGAACACTCGGATCCTTCTGCAGTAAAGCTTTAATGCATCTTGAGAGATAGATGATCAGCTTCTTAGAGGGAGACCCCAAGCTAAGAAACCCAGCCCCTTATATAAGCCTAGGAGCTCCGAGTGAGATGTGTAGAGCCGGGATTGGTGGTTTGCACATCACCCCAGATGACGTCACGGGAGAGGCACAGTTTAAACGGTTAACTCCAACTGACAGCGACAGTTAACTCTAACTGACAGTGGATGTCAGCGCCATCTTCTAACGGCAATAGCGATAGCGAGGGCGGCTCCTCACATCTCCCCCTATTCATTTATTTTTGAAGCAATAGGACACCCACAACTTTGGAGTGGAGATAGAGGTCAAATCCCCATGTGCAAATTCGGAACATGTACAAAGCTCCTCTCCAGGGTCTTATCCCCAGAGGAAGTCCTGACCAGTCCGATGTCTTTTTTCTGGGGGAAGGAGATCATGACATAGAACCTTCATGCAAGATGACTTATCTCCCAGGAGAAAGTCGTTATACCGCAGACCTCTCCTGTGCAGTGCTTAGCCTTGCAACTCCTTGGGCTGCTGAAGCCTACCCACTCTATCCCGTGCAATGAGACTAGCCTCGTGGGGTGCAAGAGCTGGGAGGCCAGCGACCTATTGCTTTAACATGGTTAACCAAATGTCAGGGGATGCTCCGTGTTCTAAGGCAGCAAGTGCTTGTGCCACCACCACTTTCTCCTTTTGTTTGGGCTCTGAGCGTACACACCATCCAAAGCATCAACACTATTCCACAGCAGAGAACTAGGCTAAATGATCCTACCCCCACCCATTCCTTAAAATAAGAAAATGCAGATGAAATCCAGGGGAGAGGTCTTCCATCAGAGAAAGATCCAGATGCGTCGAATTCACTTGCAGGATCGCCATTCTCAACTCACGGAGTGTCTGCTCAAACTCAAAAGTCCAATTCTGTAATAAATGTTGAGACAGAGCTTTTGACAGGTTAGCTGCTCTTGTAAAATTCTCATATTGTACTAAGTGACACAAAGGCCAGGCAACTTTGTTCACATCCCAATTTGGCCATCTGCCACAATATATCCAATTGTTCCTGAACCAAATTAATCTGTTGGTTTACCAACATCAGGCCTCCTTGTATCTGAGAATTGGCAGTGGCCTGTTTATCTAGGACCATGGTCACAGTGGCCTATAGTTCATTAATGGTTTGAGTTGTCTGCACAGTGGCAGAAAGTGCAAGGGCCGAGGCGGTAACCGAAGCAGTAACCGCGGCGGTGGCTATCAGGCCCACAATAATAGCAGAGATCCCAAAAATCTCGCTTTTCCCTAAACAAACTCAAATTACTTGGCGCCTCAACAGGAGCTGGAATAAATCGAGGCATGCGCATTACCAAAGCAAAAGGGTGCTTAATAGCATCCCAGCATAATGCATAAAAACAATTCTAAGCAGAACAATTTATTTCTTTCTGATTCTTACCTAAGGTATCATTACTCACAACCCAAATAAAGGGCAGCTGAATAATTAGTTCTCTTAAAAGGGGTATACTTAACATTGGAGGAGGACCAATCAGATGATCCAGAGCTCTGTCCCTCACTCAGACTGTTGCCTAATGCCCCTTTCCAATCAAAAGTAATCTGTCCCTTCTCACTATCATAGGAGAAAGATCAGTACAGCTTCCATTAATTCAAAAGGATTAGCATTAGATCTTTCTGGATCCATATGAATAAAATTATCCTTTAATGAAGAAATCACAGTAAAGCACAAGCTTCCTACTAATGACAAGGTTCTCTCATCCTGAAAACTCTGTATCTGAGGATCTAAAGGCAAAAAGGCAAGCCCCAACTCTCTATTATTTGTGAAAAATCTAGGGAACACCTGGGCATTCTGCATCACTGGCATCGGTAGGGGAAGGTAGACATGATGGCCCACCGTAACTCTCCCATCATACTAGGAACCATCATCCCGAGTAGGAGAGTCTTCATCACCCACTTGGCCTCCATCCTTCTTATTCTGGAGTTGTGAAGGAGCTCTTCGAGTGAGTCTTTCAGGGATCCACAGGGGGTTTTCTTCCTCCTGTGGAAAAACACACACAGCTCCCCTGGATCTTATAAGAATAGGATCCGGGCCTTTCCAGAGATCAGTCAAGACATCTTTCCATTTTACCATTTCTTTTGGCCTATCAGGCTCTAAACTGTGGCGATCAGCCGCAGTGTGGCCTTGGGCATCACAGTTCAAGAAATTAAGGGTAAAAAGTGCCATGGATACAGCAACTCTTGGTACCGAGGGTAGAACATCCTCAATACTCCCCTTTTGTTTAATCAGATATGATTTGAGTGTACGATGGGCACGTTCCACAATGCCCTGTCCTTGAGGGTTATAAGGTAGGCCAGTTAGATGGGTAACATCCATTTGCCGACAAAACTGTCGGAATTTTTGAGAGGTATATGCTGGTCCATTGTCTGTTTTTAAAATTCTGGGTTTTCCCCAAGCACTCCAGGCCTCAAGGCAATGTTGAATCACATATGAGGCCTTTTCCCCTGTTAGGGGTGTGGCAAACATTACGCCAGAACAGGTGTCAACAGAAACATGAACATATTGAAGCCTTCCAAAAGAGGGAATATGAGTAACATCCATCTGCCACATCTGCAATGGTCTAATGCCACGTGGGTTTATTCCCATGTGGGGAGTAGGTAAGAATTCGCAGCAATTCTGGCATTGAGTAACAATTTCCCTAGCCTCTTTCCTGGATAGAGCAAAACGACGGCGCAAGGTCTCAGCCGTCACATGAAAGCGCTTATGGAATTCTTTTGCTGCTTGTGCATGGGTAGACAAGGCAGCGGCCACCAGCTTTGTAGCCTTGTCCGCTAAGTCATTCCCTAAGGACATGGGACCTGGGAGTCCAGAATGTGCTCGGACATGGGTAATGAAAACAGGAAATCTCCTATTTAACAAGGCAGCTTGTATCTTCTGAAAGATGTTAGCAACTCTGCTGGAGGATCTTATTATTCCAGCTATCTCAAGGAGATTAACTGCATTAACCACATAAGAGGAATCTGATACAATATTGAGGGGTCCTGGAAAAGCCTCAAGAACCTCCAGTACTATCAGACATTCTACAACTTGAGGTGAAGTTTCATTATATTGTTTAGATATAACCCTATCCTTGACCACATAAGCTCCCATACCAGTTTTTGATCCATCAGTGTACACCACAGTCCCATCTGGGAGTGGGTCTTTAGCTGTCACTTGTGGAAACACTATAGCCTGGTTTAGGGCAAACTGTAAAATTGGATGCTTTGGAAAATGATTATCAATTTGTCCTGAAAAGGAAGTTAACTAAAACTGCCCAATCACTAGATGTGGCTGCCAAGGTCTGAACTCGTGCAGCAGTATAAGGCACAATCAAGGAATCAGGATCCCTGCCAAAATGTGTAACAGCTGCTTTTATTCCGCGAAGCGCGAGCTGTGCAACAGCATCAGGGTACCAGTCAATAATCTTAGCAGGGGAAGCATTTGGATGAATCCAAAGTAATGGTCCATGTTGCCACAGGACTGCAGTTGGCAATTGAGCTGTCTTAAAAACACACAGATTAAAAGGTAGTGACTCCTCAATTCGTTGTAATTGTGCTTCCTGTAAGGCCTCTTCCACCATCTGTAAGGCTCGGTGGGCGGCAGGGGTAAATTTTCTGGGTGAGGAGATATGAGGCTCACCCTCCAGGAGATCGAAGAGGGGTTTTAGATCAGCAGATGGAATTTTTAAAAAGGGCCTCAACCAATTTATATCTCCCAGAAGTTTCTGAAAATCATTTAATGTTTGTAAGTGGTCTTTGCGAATTTCTATTTTCTGAGGAACTATATTTTTGGGAGTAATCTTTGAGCCCAAAAAGAGGCCTGTATCTGCAATTTGAACCTTTTCTGAGGCAATCTCTAATCCCCACTGTTTTAATTCAGCCACCAGCATGGGAAAAGCCTTTTGTAAAACATCTAACTCTTTGTGACAAATAAGAATATCGTCCATATAATGGATAACGATTAAAGATGTAAATTGCTTCCTAATTGGCTCCAAAGCCTCCTGCACATATAGCTGACATATTGTTGGGCTATTGGCCATGCCTTGCGGAAGTACCTTCCACTGAAATCTCTTGTCTGGTTCCATATGATTAAGAGAAGGGATAGTGAAGGCAAACCTTGGTCTATCCCGTGGGTAAAGTGGAATAGAGAAGAAACAATCCTTAATATCTATAATAATAAGCTTCCAATCTTGAGGAAGTGCAGAAAGCAAAGGAAGGCCTCTTTGAACAGGGCCAAAAAGATGCATCTGATTGTTAATGGCCCGCAGGTCGTGGAGTAATCTCCACTTCCCAGATTTCTTCTTAATAACAAAAATTGGTGTATTCCATGGGGAGGTAGAAGGCTCTAGATGCCCCAGCCGTTCCTGTTCTTGCACTAATCTTGTGACAGCCTCTAATTTTTCAGAGGATAGAGGCCATTGAGAGACCCATAACGGCTCCTCTGTTTTCCATGGTATGGGTCGTGAAGCCTCAACGGCCCCTAAATAAAACCCAGTCCTTTTCTACCCCGATTTCCGTGTTGTGTAATGGGTTTTATTCTGCCTTGTTCTTGCCTACCCAAGCCTCTACCATTTGTATACCCCATCTTTGCCATAATGGCTGATGCCTGGGGGAGTATTCATTAGTTAGGGTCATGCCCATGGCTTGTAACACATCTCGTCCCCATAAATTTACAGGGAGTGGCAACACATAGGGGGTAAAACATCCCTGTTTGCCTTCAGCATCCCGCCAGGTTAAGGCTGAGGCACTGATGGCA